GTAGAACTACAGTTCTTAGTATTGGTAAACTACGGTGGAGGACAAAATTACAATGGAATAAAACTTAGTTATCCATACATGAATTTAATGCTTATTACGACTTTCTCATTCTTTATAACATTTTTCCTTTGTTGATACTCAATGTGTTATGATTGTGGATTTCCTATGTATTTCTTTGGGTATAACTATAATCTGTATTAAGATTTTATCTTTCTCTCTGTTTTAATTTTTTTTTATTTTTGTATTGTTTAATGTAGACTTAATTGTCGAGAATCGGCGTACAAAATTAGAAAATTACAGAATCAATAGGAAAAAATTAAGATACAAAACTGTTGAATTTCCTATTTTCTAGGGATTCCTTGAGACTTATACATGTAATTCTTAATCTAATTAACTCCGTAATATTTATGCGACTCTCTCTGTATTTATGACTGATAGATTTTATTATAAATCGAAATTCTTAGAAGAAGTTAATTGTTGTGTTATATTTATTTATTTTATTTATACAACGAGTTTGTTTCTGAAAATTCTGTTTATAATTAGCCACGGGAAGTCATAAAATATTGATTTGGAAACCAGTAGTTGCTTCTGATATTAATTGTCTTAATCCAAAGAACTAGACCACACTATTGTTATTGACAGAAGGCAAATCATATAGAAATAATTTTTTTTTTTTTTTACTAACGGTGGATGTTAGGGGCCAATTTGCGTGCACCTCGACTAATTCCACGTGCCCTGAAGTTTACGGCCGGTGCTTACCTCAGTGGCCCTGAGGGGATTCGAACGGTGACCATTGGGGAAAAACTCGAAGCGTGACCAATTGAGCAACCTCTCAAGGTTGAAATCATATAGAAATGATTATCATATCATATCCATTTCTTAGTTGAAATGGTCAAGTAGTAGTTTTTTTTTTTGCAACCTGCAAAAAAAGGGCGTGCAGAATTTCTCCGGGGTACTCTGATGCTTAAGTCAATAAATGACAATAGGATTTATATAGTTATCAACGGTGCCATGTTGGAGTCTTGTTTGGAGAGTGTTATTTGAATTATAAAACCCATTAACGAAGATAAAAATAGATTTTATCCTTTTAGCAATAGAGATTATGTTGCTCATAGAGCTTATCCACTGAGTTGTCTTAGTTTTACTAAGATGGAAAATCTAATATTTTGCAATACTGTCCGAAATTTTAGTCCAAAACAATGATCTTTTGGTTTTCTAGTTGGCTGCTTGACTGCAGATTATAATTGGTCGGCCATCTTAAAGTTTACATATGCTTTTCATCAATTGCAGATTGATTATGAAGAAGCATATTATTTTCTTGTATTTGGCAGTGGTGGTGTAGTTTTATATTGGATAGCAGCCGCTATCGTTAATGCAATTGATTCTATACCAGTGGTGAGTACTTCTATTGTTTCTTCTCCTGGATTTGTTTTCTCGTTGTTACAAGCTTTCGAGTAACCTTAAGATATCAATTTTTAGTTTCCTAAAGTGCTGGAACTTGTTGGTTTTGCCTACGCCCTCTGGTTCACCTCCCGCTATCTTATCTTCAAGGCAAGTACTCGAGAATTTTCACATATCACCGTATCTGTCTTACTTTTATTACATGCCTTCAATTCAGTGATACCGTTATGCAGAAAAATAGGGACGAGTTGGTTTCCAAAGTTGAAGAGATTAAGCAGCAGATACTTGGTTCGCAGGATAACTAACTGGGTAACAATAATGTTTGCCATTCGAGCTTTTAAATTCAGTATGTAACGTTGAGTCTATTTTGTGTACAAAAAGAAGGGGCCTTGGTTGTTTCTTGGATAAGTTTTGTAATGGCAATGCAAATTTCCTGTTTTACATTTGAAAACAAAAGTTAAATAAGTCAATAATGATTAGGATTGATTTAGGATGTTATGTATTTTGTCGATTCAAAGCCAGTATTAATAATGAAGTGCATTTCGATTATTTAAATATTTGGAAATATCGTTCTCTTGGGGATCTCTAGGGTGGTTAGATTCCCTCCAACGAATTTAATATATTTTCTTGTTTTAATTCGAATAAATGTTAATAATTGTGGATTTTCTAAGTGACTTGTAAAAATTGATACACGTTTAGGCTCGACTTCCCATCCACCTAACAAAAAATTATTTACTTGTATATTCTTCGTGTGCAACATGGTTGACATTGAGTGAGGTGTAAAAATCGAGACCGTTGATTGTTTTTAGCCGTGTTCTAAAATGCACTCGTATAATTGCATATGCTCGCGTATTCTCGATGCACTTTCAAAACCGTGGATACTCGCCTTGCATATGGAGTATGTGCATGATGATGCTATTAACCCATTTCATTGACCTCACATGCACGTTTGAACTTTAAAATAAGGGCGTCTTTGAGTTAAAAATGAGGTCAAATTTAGCTCAAGTCCAATCCATTTTTGTAACTTAAAAAAAAGGGTAAAGAGAACAACAAATATCAAATTTACATGGATCATCCAAGCTATTAATTATGTATTTCAATCTATTGAGTTTTGGCATTTAAAAAAATCAAAACAAATTTTTAGTAAAGTTGTAAATTATCTACACCGAGCCTGGGTCTCCCTCTTCTTCGATATTCCTCTAGTTTTACTTGCAAGTAATACACAATCTTGGATGGTTGGTTGTTATGATGATGATTAGGAGGTTGACAATAATATCTTATCATCTGCAAGAGGTAATAGAAATTTTCGAGTTGAACTAAACGAGCTCGACGAAAATGATTTTGTATTGAATGACATGAAAGATGAATTGGATAAAGAAGAGAAGATTAAATTGGAATAAAGAATTAAACAAGATTTAGGGTGTTTTAAGTCGGTGTTCATATCTAATCTATTTATTTATTAGTTTAGAATATTAAAAATTAGAAAACGAACAATTATATATATGCTTTGCATAAACACGCATATGATTGATCGAAACGTATTGTTATGCATTACGCATTTTAGAACCTTGATTTTTAGTATTTTTAAAAATCGATGTTAACTGTCAAACATAAAGTACAGCAAGGAAAATTGCCTAACCAAATAATGTTAGATCGTCGAAGTTTACAACTTAATATATTTATGTGATAATGTAGATTGTACCATTCTAAATTTGTTTTCGAAATTTAAAATTTTATTTATTGTAATAATACATTACCAAAATTTAGCAGTATGTCTCAATAAGCTAATAAAATTTTGGCATAAGGCGGTTATAAATGATGCTTAAATCCACGTGTTTTTTCAAAATTCAGAATATTGAGACAGAAAAATTGGATGTAAAAATATCAATTCACGTCGCCTGAGAGATTCGAACTCTCGCGGGGAAACCCCATGTACTTAGCAGGCACACGCCTTAACCACTCGGCCAACGCGACTTTGGTTGATGTGCATAAATTATGTATTATCGACGCCTGAGAGATTCGAACTCTCGCGCGGAAACCCCATGGACTTAGCAGGCACACGCCTTAACCACTCGGCCAAAGTGACTTTGGTTGATGTGCATAAATTATGTATAAATTTAATGAAACAATCCATACTAAGCTTGGGTATACTTTTTTAGCTTATTTGTCTAAAATTCCCTAAAATAAAACTAGTATGCCAAAAACGCAATTCGTTTTTCAAGAAAGAATACTGAACCCCCATCCATTTCTATCAATTTTTAATAAATTATTATTCTATTAGTTGTTAGATAGATTGAATATTAGGTTTTATTTTTACCGTTTCGAGATGTTTAACAACTCAAGCACCTGTTTGGTTTTGTTTAAATAATTGATAAAAATTTAAGTATTAGTCATCGATTAATTTTAACAATACATTTTATAGAATTCAGAACTTTTCAATCATGCATTTAACCATTGTTTGATGGGGATTAAAATCAAATTTTTTAATAAATTTTGATAATAAAAAAATCAATAAAATGTGAGTTGAATAAAGATATGTGATTAAAATTAATTGTTAACTTTGATTTAAATTAAATTCTGGATTATAATTCCCACGAAACATGAGCATAATTAATTTTTATCAAAATCTACCTAAAAATATGATTTTTATCAAAATCTAACGTGAGCTGAATGGTTCATCGACTTCTCAAGATTATAATTTACGAATATTAATCACGTTTCATTTCTTAGTAAACCCATAAATTTGGTAATACAATGGTTCGAAGAGGTACATTGGAANCATAAATTTGGTAATACAATGGTTCGAAGAGGTACATTGGAATGTTGCTCTATGAACTTTTAATTCAAAGAAAGCTGATTTGAATAAAGATTAGAAATTCAAGTAGTTATAAATAATAGAAATGATTCTTGAAGTGAAAAAAGAGTCACCGTACATATTGAAAAGCTTCAAGGACCAAGAATGTTGTAATTTTCAAATAAAGAGAGTTTAGTTTGACCATTTTCACATCACTATTGAAATGCTACAAACAAACACGACTCAAATGGATCGTACGTAACTAACCACCGTCGAACGTATCTAACAATAAGGTTGATTTTTTCAATAGACGTTAACGTAAATTATTAGTTCAATTTGTTGACTCGAGACCCAGTGATAACCTATTTATCGCACATTATTAGTACAAGATGAAGTACATAACAAACAAAATATTTAAACGAAGCAACTTTTATGATTTATTTATAAGATTTTTTTTTACGAGATAAGATTGAACATGATTGAACAAGCTAATTACAAAATAAATTTATATTATTATTACATCGAAAGAAATGATCTAGTAAGTATTGATGCTTAGCTTATGCTAAGCGTCGGTGTGAATGGATTTATGGTATGTCCACAAATTTAAAAATCTAAAAATTAATTGATGTGATGCGATCATTAATATTTAGCTTAAAATATTATATTTTGCCCTCATTATCTCAAAAAATTATTCCTTTCTTATTTTCAACCACACAATCTTTCATAAAATAATATTATACGTAAATTATAAGTTTTTCATTATTAACAACAACGTATTCTAAAAAAAAAAAAAAAAATTTATTCCAAAAATTATAATTTGAAATAATGGGTATCATCCCGAGGCATAATGTACTAAGCACATATAATGTGACACATTAATTAATTGAATCTTTTAATAAATTCATTTATCAATAAATTGATGTGTCATATTATCAATAATTAGTATGAAGCTCGTTGCTTAGTATATAATTTATTTCAATCACACTACGCTTATATCATCTTTTACATCATTCTTTATATTCTGTCACGTAACAACGCACCATTGAACAGTTAAAAAACTTTTCTCACCCCCGATTTTTGTAAACAAAAAGGACGTCATTCTTAATGTAATTCAGTGAATGTACATTTAACAGTATTAAATTTTTTCCGATAATTATCACTAGTATTAACTCATCATTTCTCTATACCTTTATAGGACCGCACTACATGAGCAGCGTCACGTAGGCCCAATTCGAACAACTTTATCCAATTTTATAAGTAAATTTTGTGAAATATGTACTATGAAAGTACATTAAAATGAATAATATAGAAAGTAATAATCCCATCCCACACCTTATTCCTTCAACAGTAAATAATTTGGTACAAGTAATCCTTTTCTTGTTATTACATCAACCCCACCCCACCCCACCTCACCCCACCACACAAATCAATTTGGAACAGTTTAATTATGACGTCATATCTATTACTTGTTATTTCTAACTATATATTTAGGAATTTTGTTGTTAAATTGAATTATATTTTTTTTAACATCCATTTAGTAATTACGTGCTAAAGACTTAACTAACTAAATTGAACGTGAATGAAAAATGATTACTATTTTGATTTAATTAATATAAGCAGAAACTAAAAAAAAGAGAATCGGAAAAGGAAAAATAAGACAAGTTTTAAACTAATTTAAACAAAATTCTAACCAAACCAAACAGCCCCTTAAATTCGCTATCTTTTTAGGCAACTTTACCCAATCTCAAATCCTCTTTTGACATTCCTCCCATGTCTTTCACAATCCCAAAGCTGGAGAATTCTCTCATAATTCCGTCAAGACGTCAAATTCAAATTCCATTTTCCATTTTACTATTCGTCCTCCACATCCGTCACCGGTATCGCCGACGAAGAGGCCACAACTATATGCGAAATTAGTAGAAAATCCAATTTCTATGTATAGAAAGAAAATCTGGTTATTAGGGTTTCCATTCAGCTCGGTCTTCATCCTTGGTACCGGTTAAGTGAATAGGCTATACAGATGCTTATAATTGTTGGGATTTTGCTGATTTTTTGTCTGGTAGTCCGCCAGAATTGGAAGAATGCGACGGCTACAAGGGAGGAGATTTTGAGGCCGGGGACTACGGCCTCTGAAGAGGAGGCTGGAATTGCTGAGATTATAGCTGTTGAAGAGTACAATTCATCGCCTTTGCCACCTCCCTTGCCGCTTGAAAAGAGGTATCATTGTGCTGTTTGTCTCTGTCCCACCACCACGAGGTGCTCTCGGTGCAAGGCTGTACGATACTGGTGAGTTTGATTTTTTAAGAATTATGGGTTAAAGGTTTTGATGCATAGAGGTCTTTTATTTTCGATTTGAATGTGCAGATGTCTATTTGAAAGTTTAACTTAGTCGGACTGGAAGTTGTGAGGTACAGGAAAATAGATAATTTTATTACATGAGTTCTGAGTATTTGAACGAAAAAGATTTAAGCGTGAAATATAGGCAAGAGTAGTATAAAATGTGAATAACAGGTAAAAAGAAAAGAAGAGCTATATTGAGGAATACGGATTCTGTTTGTGATAATTTGGTTAAAGTGTTAAATGTGGGTATTAATTGTCATTACACGTCTTGATAAAATTAAGAAAAGAAACTGTCAAGAGTTTGTTATGAAATTTAATGTCAGATGTTTGATTTCAGAGGATTTTCAAGGTTAAGTTGCAAGGAAGTTCTGTTAAAGAGTTTTCGGGTGTCTGTTGGGCTGGAAAATGGAAATTTCGTGATGGGGCAAAGAGTTGATGTTCACCATAGAAAAGATAACAACGGGAATAAGTTTTTGTCGTGTTTATTTGGGGACTTTCAACATTTGATGATTTTTGTTGAGGCACAAATTGATAAAAGAAAGAAGACAAAGGAAAAACGATTACGTTAAACCGTAGACCAGGGTTTCACGCCTTGATAAGTATGTGGTCGTTTAAGAATTGAGATTTCCTTGCAATAGAATTTTATGTATCTTGTATCTGCTAGCATGCAAATTTGGGAGGTAATCACTGAAAAACAGTTGGTGGGCCATACTCTATATCCAGTTTGAAAGTTGCTTTTATTTATCACCATGTGATGCACCTCCTCTACCTGGGTATCATTGAAAGGATGGAAGGCAAAGCTCGGTGCATTTGTCGTGCCTCATGGTATTCATTTTGTAAATAATGCTGGGACGAAGGCCCTTGCATATCAATATATCATTGAGAAAATTAGCAAAGGACCTACTAGTGGTTCAGCTCTCCTATAAGCTCCCTCTGTAGATGACACAGTTCTGTGGTTCTATAATCTGTCCCCCGCATGTTTATGTACCCCTTTATCTTCATGTCCCCGAAAAGCAAGTTACAGAAGTTGCTGGAGATACTGCACACTCTCTTTCTCATGAGAGAGGTTATCAATCTTCTTGTGGTAGGGAAAAGATATGCCCACATTGGGGTTTGGGGGTGGGGCAGGTGGAAGGGGTTTTTTTATGTTAACACTAGGTTCAACCATGGTTTAAAAAGGCGGAGCTGAGGCGTAGTACCTATGACTCATGGCACTACATCTAGTGCTTTCATTTTGAGGTAGGCCCCTTATTGGGTGAGACACGTTCAATTCTCATGCCTCATGCAGCGCGCCTCATGTTCTTTTTAAATTTGAATTTTTTTTATATCTATGGTGCAGTGTAAATGTGAGTTTCAATGATAAAACCTAAGTGCATTTACTTGGGTCCATCTTCTCAAATAAAATAAAAATAAAATTGGATCCATCAAATTTGACTAACCAATAAAAGCCTGAATTCCACTAGCAATTTGAGTTCCCCACCCACGCCTCACTATTCTCGAAGAAAGAACAAAATTCTTCTTCAAGATCGAAAGCCTGTGGTTCTAAAAATCCGGCAGGTATATATTATTTTGTTTTTCCTCTTTCTTTTCTGCATTTCATGTACAGTCTCTCATTTTAATTTTTTTTTCTTAAGTTCTTGCACAAGACAAGGCTATGGGTTTCTTAAAACTAGGCACACATGGTGTTAATTCTATGGAGATTTTTTTTAAGATTGATTGTTTATGATTTGTTATATTTACATGCTTATTTTTGTACTTTGTTTTATAGTTTTTATTTTTTTGTGGTAATGTTTACGTCTCACCTCTCAAAGGAAAAATGCGTCAGTACCTATCTCTGCCTTTTTAAATATTGGGTTCAACATATGTCTTAGAGTATTATGCTATAAATTATTTAGAAGAAACCTTATTGGCATTTGGGATGGGTGATATCAATTTTTCCTCCTAGAGTGTGTTTGGAATTTGGAAGGAATGTCCTCTAATTTGGGAAAGGAGAGGCTTTGTTATCCTTGATAGGCTTGGCATGTTATAGTTACCCATCTATAGCTGCATTGTTATGCATCCTAATTTGGAGTAAGTCACTTTGTGATCATAATTATAACGACTTGGTTCACATTTTATTAAGTCTTTTCAAGATCCTATTTTGAAGATGGACTGAATTGGTTAAGAGCAGTCTCTTTGATTGTAATTGTTGTTCAGACTTAGATCAGTTGCATGTAACAAATGATCTCATGAGAGGAGAATGTAATTAAATTGTTGTTGTCACATTGAGGGAAAGGCCTTTTGAGTGTTCAAAATGATTTCTTTCTTAGATTATTAACGATTACAAGATATGTGAAAAGTTGGTTAACTGGATTATATGGGTTAATTTAAGTTGTGGCTATACAATTTACTTTCATCACTGATCATATACGAAAATTGTTTTGAATTCTTCTTGTTCTTGTAAGACTTATTATGTGTTTGCAATTTTCTTTTTGAAAGCAGACGTGTCTAGGAGGACAGATTTGAAGTGAACTTTGAAGTTTATTGATTTTTGTCACGTTTACATTTCAACTTTGTTGCTTTGTAGTTCCAGTAATTGTCAGATAATTCACTGGAGACAAGGCCACAAGGATGAATGCAGGCCGGCAACCAAGTTGGATGCTAGTGAGGGAAGTGAATGCAGTATGCTAACAGCTTCACATAATCAGTTTAAGATGCAAGTGAGTAAATTTAATGGTTCATCAGATTCCTCACAATCGCTAAATGATTCTGGATCTTTAAGTACCTCGTTGCCTCGCTTCTCTTCTTCTGCCACTCATAGTGAAACATCATCTGATGCTTCTATCAGTGAGGTTCTTGGATCAGAAACTCCTATAAGATCAGATAAGGTACCTTCTGAATATACTAATACCGATATGTGTAGAACTACCTGTGATTCTGCTAATATGAAGTTAGCAAGACCATCTCCATTGGATTCTGTTGATTGTTCTGTAAATAAAATGCCAAGTCCCAACAAGATAAACAAGATGCAATCTAGTAATAGTAGTGGTGGCCCATCTACACGCTTCATAGATGAAAAAACTTGTGATGGAGTTGATGTGTTGGAAGAGTTTGTCCCAAGTGCAACTAAGCTGAAGAGTTCACGTTCATCTAGTTCTTCAAGGAAACCATTATCTTCAGCCGATTACAGGGAAAATGCTGCACAGGTATCCAGGAGTAAGGAAAGGAGATCCATGCCTTTTAGGGGTTCAGATGACCATCAAATATCAACTGCAGAACAACATTCACTTCCATTTTCTCTTTCTACGAAAACTGGGAGTTATCATGCTTTGCCTTCTGAAGTTGAAAACATTCCAATACATGCTAGCAAGGGTTTGAAGACATCAGTACGGAAATTTGTACATCAGTTTAGAGGACTGAATCAATCAAACTCCTGTGCGCCGGATATTAGGAAGGACTCTATTGGAAAATATTATCACGAGGTTACTAGTAGATCTTATTTAATTTATTTAGTACTGCAAGGTCTTATTATCTTATAATTGTTTTTTTAATTTTTTTTTTTTTCCTTTTGTCAGGCCGTATTTTCTCCCAAGCTGTTCATGCAATTATACTCTTGCAGCGATGTGCAACTTCATCCTTTTGGCCTTGTGAACTGTGGAAACAGGTAATATTTTTGTTGTTTCAGCTCATTAGATTTTAAGAATGCCTAAAATACTATTACGGTGGGTTTGCAATGGCTCGATAAGGTGATAGCTATAATTATGCTTCTTCTTGTATTTGATTAGCGTGTTCATATTATTTAAATTATTTGTTTTGGCGTTCTAATGAAAGTATTCCTTCTTGAATTTAATTGGCTTCTTTATTTGGTCCATTTTGGGTATGTGTTTGTATGTCTTATATTTTATAGTCCTTTGTGTTTCTTTTTTTGTTAATTTGTCACTGTAGAAAAATCTGGTTGCTGAATAGACTTCAAGTTTGCTGCACGACTTCGTGCTATAAATTTTAGCATTTGATCAATTGTAAGTGCTTCAAATAGGCCACAAAATAAATGGACTCTCTTTTTCTGGGTTTGGGTGGGGATGGGATTTGAAAACATGGGGAGTATTTAAATAATTTATTGTCACTCACTCTTTTGTTATCTTTTTATGTTTCTTCAAAAAAGTTTCTCATGAAAATTTCAAACTTCGTTTGATTTCTTGGAACAAAAAGAAAAATAAAAAAATTCTTGTCTTTTTATTTTTATCTTTCTTTAACTACTATAAGTTCATGACACGATGCATTTTTGTCGTGTACTCATAATTTTGCTCTTTATATGCAGTATGCTTACTTTTGGCTTATGAGAAAATTTCTGGTCTTTTGTATGTATTCAAGCATGCTGATATGCTCGTAGCTATTTCAAGCAAGGATATATTAATGGTCTGACATTTTATGCCAGTCGCATGGCTCTCTTCTAATGCAAAATTTTGGATATTAGTGGCTATGTACTCAGAATTTAGTGAAATCCGCTGTATATGAAAATGGACATTTTAGGCCTCCATTTTTCAGAATATCTTGGAATTCATATTCTATTATTTAAGGCAACATCCAAATATCGTAGAATTTTAGACTCGAGAGAAGGTTGAATCGTAAGAAAATAAATATGTTTTAAAAGATTTTTCAGTTTATTTTGATTCATTTAATGCTGGAAGTTATGCTAGTCTAGGAAAAAAAATGTAATATTACTGAATCTGCATAAAAGTTAAAGGTAATATGACATGGTTTTGTTAATCTTGGTGTTGTTAATTAAAGAAGTCTGTTTGTTTTACACCGATTTTTATTGCTAGACTGCTTTTTGTATTGCATATAAATTATAATGCATCTTCCTTTTTTCTTTCTGCAGCTGTTATGCAAATGCAGTGCTGCAGTGCCTGGCTTTTACTCGGCCGATTAGTTCTTACCTTCTTCATGGGGTTCACTCTAAAACATGCAAGTGCCTCTTTATAATTTCTACATGTTCCGTGCATTGTCTTGATGTTGTGGGTCCCATTTTTATCTTATCGTGTGGAGCTACAATCTCAGGTAAGAAGCAGGATTGGTGTTTTATCTGCGAGTTCGAATATCTTCTTCTGAAGGGACAAAAAATGGAATCTCCTTTGTCTCCGATTGGGGTACTGTCTCAAATACAAAAGATTGGAAGTAATCTAAGTCATGGAAGAGAAGAAGATGCTCATGAATTTTTAAGGTGGGGAAGGTTACCAGTACGACGGGTATGCTTTTTGTCTAGAATTTTGAACTTAATATATTAATCAAGATTTTCTGAGGTGACAGGTGTGTGGTAGAAACAATGCACTCCATTTGCCTTGAAGAAGCTGGGATTGCAGACCAGTTAGATGAAGAATCAACCCTTGTAGGTCTAACTTTTGGTGGTTATCTACGTTCAAAGGTGCGTCATTGTGATTAGCTGATTTCTTCTGATCAACCATCTTGTTTAAGGATACAAGTTAATTTGATTTAGGTAGCAGTTAATGTCATTACAAGTTCTTAATAATGTCTTCTAAATTAAATTCCAGATAAAGTGCATGAAGTGTTCAGGAAGATCAGAGCGGTGCGACCGGATGATGGATCTTACTGTGGAGATAGGTGGGAACATCGATACTCTTGAAGAGGCTCTTGTGCAATTCACGACATCTGAAACTCTTACTGGAGATAACAAATACAAGTGCAGCAGGTTTACTCATTTTCCTAATTGTCCAAATCTAGTAGAATTTGCCGCAGTTCTAGCATCTTTAGTTTAGTATTGTATAAAGGATACACTAAAATGCTTTTCTTCGTGTATCCTCATCAGTCATTGCTGTTGCTGATATTATGCTGTTCTGTTCTTCTTATGTTTGTTGTGCTAGACGTGATCGTTATACAACTTTATGGGATTGGGAATTGATCCCTTGGGAATTATAACAATTCTGTGTTACGCAAAAGGGGGATTGGCTTGTACCTAATGCTTGATTTTTCATTATTTTAATGGATCCTGTTCTGCTAACATTTGCAGATGTAAATCATATCAGAAGGCTAAGAAGAAGTTGACAGTGCTTGAGGCTCCTAACATCCTTACAATTGTCTTGAAGCGATTTCGGGTAATTTATCATTAGTCGTCATTGTATTTTTTATGCTATTCTCTCTTTTTAATCTTTGTTCTATGATGTCCACGACTTCTAATTCTTGCCCTTTATTCATGTTTGCAGTCTGGCAACTTAGGGAAGCTGGATAAGCTAGTTCAGTTTCCTGAGGTTCTGAACCTTGCTCCGTTTTTGAGTGGAACCAACGATAAATGTCCCATATATAGTCTTTATGGACTGGTTGTTCACTTGGATATTATGAATGCTACTTACAGTGGTCACTATATTAGTTATGTCAAGGATTTCCGGGGAGATTGGTTTAGAGTTGATGACAGCAGGGTATGTTCTAATGCACCTATTCTAAATTGGCCTTTACTTTGCTATACTTGAACTTGTGTCTGCTCAGTCCTGAATCAGTTGTTTTACATCCATTGGGTTTCAATGACATCATTCTTGGTGGAGGCTTTAGGGGCTGTCGCTTGTGAAGAATCGTGATGCCTTTTCATTTGATGGGTTTCAGAAAAATCACTGTAATTGGGCTTCACTTTATTTTCCATTGACTAAATGTAGAATAATAGAAAATTAGAAGAAAGCGATTCACAAAGAAATGCAGCCACCTGGTCCTGACCCCAGCCAGTACTTGCCATTGTCCTCATTTTCTTCTTCTCAAATTTACTGCCTTCCCTTCTCTAAAAAACGTCAGCCACCCCCATGAAGGATGACAGACTTGTATATGCATACATTCCCCTACCAAAGAAATCAAGAATACTGGAATTACCATTTGTTTGAACTCTCTTGGTTTGCACCACGAGAAACCAGTTGTCTAAGCTATCGCGGTAGTCAAAACAGCTCTTTTTCCTTGCTTGTGTCTTCCCCCTTCGCATTGAGATTCCATTTCATTGTTAAAAAAACATTATTTGTGAATAGGGTGCTTTTGTAATTTGGTTTCTTCTCCTTTCTGGGGATTGAAGATATGCAAAAAGCTGAGAATCTGTGGTCTGGTCCCAGTGAACTTTTAAATGTGAAGGCACACGTGGCTGAGCTGGCCACAAATAGCAGCTGTATGTGTGACTGCCCCTGGCATCTCTCTCGTCTGCTAGCAAAATTGTCAGAATTTGTTGATATTTGAATATCTTGTTTTATTGTGAAATAGATTTTGAAGTTCTATGACCATTTCAGTTATGAGAAAGAAAGAAGTACCAAGACTTTCTGTAGAGGGTGTATATATTATGAATAACTGATGATTCGGTGTGTTCCTGTCGTGTAGGTGATACCTGTAGATTTGGAGACTGTTTTATCCGAACAGGCGTATATTCTCCTTTATGCACGGTAATCCTAAGTCCAAAGTTGAGTTCCATCAAAATATCGGTTCTTTAGTATTTCTTTAAAATAAATATACAACTTTTTAGGCACAATCCAAGAGGTCCGTCTTTGGCAAGGGATAGCAGTAGTAAGCGGAACTTGGAAACCAATTATTTGAGTAACATTGGAAAGAGAAGAAATTCAAAGATAAAACTCCCTATGGAGCAGAGCACTGATACTACAATGCATTATCAGCGGTCTCGAGGATACCCTATTTGGACAACTCCCAGCGATCACATATTAGATACCGAGGGTTTGAGGCAAAGAAATCCTTTTGTGGACTCTTCAAGTGATAGTTCTTCAATTTTGAGCGTATCAGATGCTGGTTCATATAGTACAGATAGCACCAAGGACTCGAGTGCTGAGGACTCATCTGGCTATATGTTTAGGCCTAGATGGTATGGTTCATAATGATTTCTTCTGGAGATGTCGATTCATCCTCGAGCCAATAACTGCTGCTGATACATCAGCAAATGTGGATTTGAAGGGATTTGGAACGGGATGATAATATTGCATGCAGCAGGACAGCCCATTGAGAGTTTTCAGAAATGTTTGGTGCAGTACCGGACTGGATGGGACGCCAAAAAAAAAAAAAAAAAGAGAAATGTGTACACTAAGACAGCTGAAGAAAGTTCATAACTTGGTTCACTACTTGATGAGCAGATAGTGCTACAGAGTAAGCCGGACTTGCTACTTTCAAAATTTACTGTATTCGCCCTAATGGGGAACAAATAGAGGAAGAGCAACTCGAACATTTTTTTAGCGTTTGAGTTGAGATAATTATAAGTTGTAAATTGTTGAGATACTATGTATTTCAGAAATTGGTTATAAATGCCAAGTATATAGAAAGCTCAATGCCTCGTTCAACAAGCTTCTCCTCCTTTTCCGTTCTTTTTCTGCGTATTTGTCTGTTTTGAGGGGCATATGGATCTTTGCTTTGCATTTTAAAAAGTGAAAATTACACTAATGGTTTTTAACTTCTCAATTCAAAAATCAGATTTTTTTTTGTTTGGTTCAAAAATCAGGTGATGATTCGACTTTTTAATATTAATAATAGTTTCTTAAAATTAAATAAATCTTGGAGTGGGATGAAAAGTGTTTGTGACCAATTTTTGGGTGATTGTACCAATAAAATTGTTAATTTATGACTAATAAATAATATGTGATCAATAAAATAGATATTTTGTGATCAATAAGTATATGTATCATAAAAAATGAGAGATTGCGATTAAATTTGTAAAAGTGATTTACAATTTGTTAATTTGTTGCCAATTAATTTGATAATTTGTAATTGATAAATAATTTGTGACCAACTAATTTGATGATTTCTGACAGTGAAATAAGTTGTGATTTATAAAATTTGTGATTGTTGACAAAAAAAAAAAAATAATAATAATACGTAACCTATTAATTTAATAATTTGTAATCGATAAATAAATTGTGATCTAGAAAATTTGTGATTTGTGATCGAGAAATAATGTGTGACCAATTAATTTAATAATTTGTGATCGACAAATAAGTTGTAACCTATAAATTTTGTAATTTATGACTGTGACTTTATATGATTGTGATTAGTATGAACAGTATAATGTTGTGAGCTTAACATGTTTAATTAATAAAATATTTAATTATGACTTGATTTTTGAAATTTTAAAACATATTTCTTAATTTTTGAAATTGTATATTTCAAACACCTATTATTTCCTTTAAAAAAAATATTAAATGTAATTATTTTTGAAATAAGTAATTTATTTCTATTTTGATCAGTTTTTTTTTTTAAAAATTGAGTCCAACCTTTGTGTAATGTAGCTGATAAGTGTATTTTATAAACTTATTCGAAATCTAAAACAATGATATTTTATAATTCTTTTGATGAAATATAGCCTTATTTATTGTATATTGTGTTTAATAGTTATAACTTAATGATTGAACGAAGGAATGAAATAAACAAAGGAAAAATAGAGAAAAAAATGATGAAATTCAATTATGGGGACTAGAGTGCAACGTTTCAATGGATCGGACCACAAGAGATTGATTGAAGTTGCTATGAGTTTAATGGGATGCAATTGTAAGATAAATGAACGAAATTACATGTGAAAATGATCAAAATGCACAGCGGGAAAGTTCATGGACCAAATTGCAGTAATTGGTTCCAATCAGAACCATGTTGTCGCAAGGGCCAAATGTCGTGCGGTCGCGAGGTTGGTGCTTTGATTTACCGAGGCAAAAATTCTTTAACCATGCGGTCACATGGCTTTCCGGATGGGAAATATTTTCTCATTTTTCTTTATTTGGCAAGTTTTGATTGGATATCTTTTGTATCTTTATAACCTAGAGTCCATCCAGAACACAAGAGAACCTAATTTTTATCATATTTGGAGGCTAGCAAAAGGGGAGGAAGAATTCTACAACAAGATTTAAAGTTCCAAAGCTCGAATTGAAGATTGAAGTGCATGAAATCAAGTTTTTGAATTCTACATCTATGTCTTTGTTTCGGGTGTCGCATTTTCATCTTTTTGTGTAATTTTAATATGATAATGTTAGGTTAAACTCCCAATGTATTGGATGAATAATGAAATATATTGATTCTCGTTTTTAATTCGAATGTTAAGTATTTTAGTGAACTCTCTGTGTTTTTTTTTTTTAAAATTAAATGTTCATGATTATTGCATTGTTTAAATGTTTTATCACCATTTAGACAATTAATTGCTTATTTGTAGTGTCGAAAGACTCACAATAAGTAGAACACAACTTATTTGACACACAGACAATATGTGTTAGGAATGACATTTATAGCGTGCGCAATTTTATGTGATAATCGTATGATTGAATATATATCTATGTATATAAATTTAGACTAATAATAGGATCGGGTCATGCCTAGGATAAATTTAATTTATCTTGAAAATGAAGATTAGACACGAGTGGATTATCGATTGTCATGAATACTTGAAGAGCATTAACATAAATGATTTGAGAATTGAAAATAGAGATTAATAGGTGGATTATCCAATATATTCATCTCATGTTTGATAAAATCACTTTTATTCCTGTCGTAGCTAAATATAAGCCATGTTTGTTTCGCATTAAAATCAGATTTTAATCTAAATCAAAGTCAAACAATCAATATTAACCACATGTTTTATGAGTCCCATAAATTTTCAACTACGCATTTCAAAAATTTCAATCACAATTTACTAAAAATCTAATCTTAATCCACACCAAACACCCACATAGTATAAAAATCAAAACCACATCTTTTGTGTTACTTTTTATCAAATTTGGTTATAATTAGTAAATAATAATTAAACAATATTTCTGGTAGGACGATAACTCAACTCACTTGATCTATTATTTGTCAATGATTCAGTACGCTTGCAAATTTTGCACAAATAGTAGCCCAAGTAATTATTAAGGCCCATTCTTTTAATTGACAACACACGCCTCTTGTTTATTGTAAGGGAAAAATACATAATAACAAAAGTTTCAAAATATACGTTAAAAAACAAGAAACTTGTAGAAAAGTTCAAAAAATAAGTGGTCACAAAAAAAATAAATAAATTTGTAGCCATAGATTTTGCTACAGTCGAAGGAAGTAGCGTAGCCGCTCAAAAAGGATCTACCTAGAAGAGCGTCAACAGCATCAACCACCTCTTGCCAATCTTTCTAATGATATCAGCCACCTTGCCCATGGATCTAGAATCAGTGATGAGTGGTGTTTCGCGTGGGTTATCGTTAACAATTAAAAGATAGGTTCAGACGATTGTATAAGGAACAAACATTTTGAGACAAAGTCCCAAAAATGAGTGCTTTATTTATGAAGATTATACTTGGGAAGAAGCAAAATGTCTCAAAGGGGCACAAGCACACGAAGTAAATTGAAAGTTTGCACTTAGAAAATAAATGAATTGAAATTACATATTCTCTATTGAAAGTGATTGATTCGGTCTTTTCCTTCTATATCTTCTTTTCAATAGAGAATATGTAAT